TTCCTTGGCCATCTCCTGCTCCTGCTTTTGCTTTGCTCTCTGCCCTCTGCCTGTTCCTTGGACTCCATGGACTCATGGACTCTTGAACTGTCTTCAGCCACTTGGCCGCATGTATAAGCATGTTTTCTGGTTTGGTTCACAGACAAAGCTTAGAACCACTTAAGAAAATCCATTCACAACCTGAAACTAACTAGGACTCTAGTCCTATATCCTCCTCTCCTCTCTTTTCCTCTCCGGATGTGTATATGCATGTGTCTGTGTGTCCTGCAAAGATTGTCGAATTCGGTGTCCCTCCGTCTGAGGTTTCGTTTTTCGTGCTGGCAAAAGAAAACTCACCTGATGATGGTCCCAAATCAACATATGAAGCCAGCAACAAAAGGGATTAAGTCTAAGACACACACACATGCATGCCCACCTGTGCACGAAGGACATCACACACACACACACAGATGCCCCCAGCCCCAGCTCCTGCTCTCACTCCTGTTCTTGCATAGTTTTACATGTCTAAGGACAAAAAATGAATTTATTACGCAACAAAAACCAAACTTGAGACAATTCCAAAGCCTAACCCAAGAGGCCGATGCGATGCCAACTTAGCAGCTGAGCAGGCCGAAGGGGAAGGAGTGGGGGTCAGTGTGGAGAAAGGGCAAGGGTTGGGCTTGGTAAAGGATTCAAATAAATTACCGCTACGGGCCATACTTATTTCATTAGGATTATTTTTGACTAACATTTACGGCCCTCCCACACCCATTCACATTACCATTTCCCCAGTCGCAGGTCCCTTTGGGGCAGGTGTAGACGAGTTGGATAGTTAAAGAATTCCCTGATTTCCGGCCATATCCGACTGCACCGATTCCGAATGTGCGTCTTCTAATGCCGCGAATGAGGCTGAGGGATAAGAAATTGGACTGGGGGTTCGGATAGGAACGGTGGGAGGCCGCTAAACGCGAACAGCAGACGATAAAATGAAAGAAAATGCCTCGCGGCATTAATTATAATCCGCTTAAAAGTTTCAACATGTTTTTGCAGCCCCCAAAGCCCTATTGAAAAACCCAAATACAAATGCAAATACGACAGAAAAAAAAAGAGAACAAATCTCTGACTCAGAAGCCCCTACCATCGACTGAACTGCAGAGTGCAGAATATTCGCATATGCACAAGTGGAACTCAAAGTGCTGAAGAGCATTGACTTTGATTCGGAACAGAAGTGAGCAGCTTGCACTTTAGGGTGAAAGATCATTCAAAGGAACTCAATACAACTGAAATTTGTGTGGAAGCAATGTATAATCCATCGCCCTGGAAGAGCGGGATTCTTTGTTGCTTCGTAAAAGGAGAACAGAGGCTTGACTCATTAACTGCTGGAGATGGATGGAGAAGCTTAAGAACTAAAGAAACGCGATAGCAGGCTGTTTGAACTAAAGTGTGTAATATTATTTATAGGGATTGCAATACTACATTGAAGGATTAAAGAAATATAATTAACGAACAGTTCGGTAATGGTTTCGAAGAACTTATTTAGTTTTCCTGGGTATTCCTTTGTGCCATAATCGAAAACTCAGTGTTATTCTTCTTGCCGCTTTTTGCTGTTTATTTCTACGGCAAGGAATATACAAGGAAGGACCTCTGGCAGGAGACAAGTCGATTTTCATTTTATTGTCCTGCTTAATATGTTTTTCTTTTGTAAATGCCAGGCCCCAGTGCGGCAAAGAGTGTAGGGGCAAGGACTAAGACAAGGATATGCTGGGTGCAAAGGTGTAAGATGAGGCTCCTTCGTGTTCTTTGTGAGTATCTGTGTGTGGGCGTGTGTGCGTGTCCGGGAAAGTTCTTAAGTCGCCCCAAATGCGGCTGAAGCTGCAAACAGAAAAAACAGAGAAACATAGGGTTGAAGGAAGCTGAAGGAAGCATTATAAATTAAAATGCACACATTAAAAATTCTACTAAAAAGAGTTTGCAATTAAGTAGGACTTAAGTTAAAGTGTAAATAAAAATGTACACACACAGACACCCACTGACACCCACAGACACACACTTACGTGCCGGGATTCCTTGGGGAGCTGAGGGAAAAGGCTATGGAAATTTGTTTGCCGGCGCAGAGCGAATGGGGAAACTTGTGGCAATTTCCTTAAGACTATTGCTTAATTTCCGGTCACTCTTCCTTCCACAAACATACTCGGACCTAGGCCCACTCCACCCCTCGCACACATGAGCAGAAGCCTACTTAAGACCCTTGAAATCCTTGTGATTTTTTGCACTGGTCAAGCAATGATAAGCAAATTTCCCAACAGTTCACTTGGCTTAAGACGAACCCTTCTCCTCCTTCCTTTCCGGGGGACGCAACCCTTTCTTCCAGCCAGTGGTCACGTGTCCTTTCTGGTTGTTAAAACTTTTGCTCTGTTGAAATTGTAGTTTTCCTAAATACCCAAATCACTCAAAACTGATTTTAATAACTAAATTATGAATATGCCGCCTATAAATAAACAATCACACAATTTATTCCATCGAAAAAGTTCGGAAAACGACTATAAATATTTGCTACAAGGACGCTCCAATAATCCTTTGCAGTCACCTAAATACCTACCTCCATTGTCCATCTGTGTGCGTGTGTGTGTGCTTCGAAGGATTAAATCGTTTTGATGTCCTTGCTCGGGCAATTTATAATTATTTGTTTGCCCCGGCCTCTGTGGTCAGCCAATTGGTCAATTTCTTAGAAGAAAGTCGAGTGGATGGAAACTTGTCCATCCTCCCCGCACGCCCCCGCCCCACTGCCTTCATGCACATGAGATATTTCTAGAAAGTTTTCAAGAGATTATAAGTCTTCAACAGGGCACAGATGGAGATAGACAGAGAGAGAAAGAGAGAGAGAGAGGGGATATGGGAGAGGCGCTCCCGGCGTTTACCTTCGTTCCCATTATCCTTGAGCTGGGAATTTTCCAATTTCAGTTGATTGCGATGACTTGATTATTTTTGCTGCTGCTACTGCTGCGGCGCCGGCTACTACCGTGAATGCAGGTTAATAAATCTGAAGCCGCGTGCCGGCAAGGGGGAGGGGAGGGACTTAAAGGCGGCGAGGAATGGTGGGGCGAGGCGGGATATCATCTTAGCCCTGGAAAGTAGAGTTCATTTGCAAATCGTTCGCCAGCTTAGCGTGGGGCGGTAGTCACAGAGCGATGGCAGGCTGTCTGCTGCCGCAAGATTTAATGCCCTCAAACGGTTCTTATTTTTTCATTCCAAATTTAATTCAATTTGTTTTGGCCCCGACTGTCTCGATTACTTTTTTGTGTTCGTTCGCTGCTGCCATTGATAATGCTAATAAGGATAAGCCCTGTCTGCCATCGTTGGCCCGGGTGACTTAAAGCTGCCTTGCCCCTGGCCCCGGATCCTGTCGCGCTTTGTCGTTGAAATCGCAGGCGGAATGTTGCAACAATTAGTGGGTGTTCTATGGTGGGCTTTGGACTCCCCACCAACGAGCCACAGCCACATACATATTGCTCGTGCATGCAGGTGCTGCATGGAATCCGCTTTTGTTTCGGCCACATCAAATCATGGCTCCATGGATAATGGATTTAATGAGTTTATTATTCGGTTGTCGGCCAGCACGCAGCGCTTCCACGTTCCGCATTCACTGCCCTAGCCAGGATACGCCCTGGATAGGCCTAGACTGCTGCCACTAATGACCATTCTGGTCAGGGGACTGCATAATTCCAAAGCCAATAGGAGGTGGAAATGAGGGAGAGGGGACTGCATTTGTTAGAGCCAAAAATTGAACGAGCATTTTGAGAAAATACGAATTTTATGCGAATTTGCAGCGCACCTAGATTGATTGATAGATGAGCGAGAAAGTACTTTTCAGTTTCTGGACGTAAAAGACCTCTCAATCGTACATCCATGGTAAATCCTTGGCTAAGGGAAATGAACACAATGGAGATATCCTAATCCAATTCGAAAATATTTTTGGTAATACTCGGTAATAGCTTTAAGCTTTGAATGGGCACCGACTGGCATGGACATGGACATGGACATGGATGCATTATAGTTGAATTCTTTATTCCTTTTCCACTCGCCTGTAAGCACTCGCACAGACACAGGCATACTGGCACACACACAAACACGCTGGAGCACACACACAATTGATGTATTTATTTTTAATGCCCATGGCCCCCAATGAGGTTTTCATGGCAATTAAAAGATTTGCATGGCCCACACCCACACTCACACCCCGCCCAGCGTATGCGGCATGAAAATCGCACGTAATTGGGCTGAACTTTCGGTTGGTGGGTCTGAGGCCTCACCATGTCCCGTCCCGCACTGGCCCACTGCCGCCCCCAGGGGCTACCGGGAAACGCTGCAGCGCTGTGAGCTGTCGGTCCCCAGCAAATGCCAATCGTTCGCCAATCTCTGGCTGCTTACAATTTTTATAATTGGAATAATTAATAATACCATTATGTTTGTCGGACCTGGGGCGTTAAGCCTATTTAGTGTGTTCTCTGCCCTTCCCGCCCACCATTCAACCCCTGGGAGTCGCCCCCATTGGTAGTGGCATTGCAAACATTTCGTAAGTTCTATTTGCTGAATTTTGCTAAAAAAAAAAAAAAGAACTGGTAAGCTTTTCATAATTGTTTGGCGTGAGAAGGAGCGGAGCGGTGCTTTTATTTTCAATTGAAAAACAAATGATGAATGAATTTAAAAAGTTTTTGAAAGGGTGAGGGGAATGCATTTTGAAGTCATCGTTCAGTAATGATGATATGTTTTGCATTATTGCATAAACAGCTCCTACCGCTGCACTTTAAGCGGCTGAAATCATTTGCGGCTAACCGAAACTTGCAATAATTTATGTAAATACTTGTGCGGCCAATCTGCACATATAATGCACATATTGAATTTGTATTAATAGCTTATTTAATTTTAATTTTAATTTGTCTATGGGTGCCCCTCGGAACTAGACTGAACTAAACCGATTATAAGCACTTCTAACGCGACCTCTCTCTCGCTCTCTCTTGCAGCCAAATCACTTCCACTCCATTGTGTGGTGGAGTCGGTGCACTCACTGCACGCCTCCCTCACCATCGACAGCCGGCAGCCCTGGAAGCGTCGGCCCAACATCGAGACAGACAGCTACGTGATCATAGCAGCGGCCACGCCCTGGAGCGAGATTGTCCAGACCGCCCTGCAGCGGCTGGGCTACTCACAGGAGGTGGCCAACACAGCCCGAGGTGAGTGCTGCAAATGCTCCTTTCCTGGAGAGTTTCCTTAATCAATTCTCTCTCCTTTTGTGCTCCTTTGCAGGCTCCCTGATCATCAAGCACTGGAAGCCCATACCTCTGGAGCAGATATCGGACAATCCGGCGGTGCCGGTGAGCGACATTGTGGGGGAGCTGACATCCGTGATCACCCTGCGCATCGTGATCCTGCGGCCCAAGACCTCTCCCTTCGGCGAGATCAAGGACAAGCTGCTTAAGCTGCTCGTGTTGCAGTCGCACGCAGTGCTCCGTTCCACAGGCTGTCCTCTGGATGAGGTAAGTTCTATGGCAGTCTACTGCTGAGCCCGCCGCCCATCCCCGGTAACCAATTAGACATTCACTTTGAACTTTCACTGAAAATTTTGAACTAAGATGAGAAAATTCTATAATGATTCATAAGCGGTTTATGGAGTAGCTTCTCCTTCTCCCCACCTCTCTGATCCCTTCTTGGAGTTGCTACAACTTGTAGCAAAATATTTCTCTGGATGAGAGACCGGCTCCGTGGGGTAACTGTCGCTAATTTGCGTGATGTGAGCCTTAAAACACACACACACACACACACACAGATACACAGCAGAAAGTTTTGCATGTCCTGGAATATTAAACTCGTTGAAAATGTTTTGATAATGACTACAAAGAAATTTTGTTAAGCCGAGTTCATTTATTTGGTTCACTTAACTAATCCTTTTTCGAAATAGTTTTCGTTTTTAATCAGCTTTGCGAACATCTTTAGGCATGTGTGCATGTGCGTATTCGTGTGTGTTTATCTGTGTGTATCTGTGTGTATCCCTATTGAAATCGGCTTAGAAGGCTTACTTGAAATTCCTGCCCTGGGATTGGGACTGGGACTAGGACTGGGCAGCCCTCCCACATTGGTGCACTCACATGACCCACATTCATAGACAGAATAGATATCGGTGCATGGTGCTGCCATAAATCATCCGCTCGTTCAGTTAACAGCGCACTATCATCGCTCGCCGAACAACACGAAATCACGGCCAGAAATACCCTTCAATTGATATTGCGACTGACTGATTTTATTGGCCTACCTGATTAATATTAGCAAAGCAAAGCAGGCCGAAGGCAATTGTCGCCCCTCCTAATCACATGATAAGCATTTACCATAATTTCTACCCATTCTGTGTGTTGTCTGATAGCTCTTCCTAGCCCTGCCGCTCTGCCTTTCCCACTCCCTCTCATTTCCCCCCTACTTCGTTGAGGTTCTTCGGGTGTTCGTGTCCGTATAGGAGCTTTGTGGAACGGCGATATGAAAATCAATTCAATAATACCCCCCCACATAACGTAAGAAGCGTCAACCCATTTTATTTACAATTAGGTGTCTGCCGCACCCAACCGCCAACCGCCTACCGCCCCACCCCCTCCTGCTGACCCGGGTGCTCGTGTGTTTTGAGCAGCTTAAGTGATTTGGGGCGCCTCCTTAGCTGATAGCAGACCCAGAAGCAGAAGCACAACCAGAACCAGAACCACAAAAAAAGAACCACGACAGAGACGCAGACAGAGACATTATCTATTACCGTTGGCGCAACAGACAACAGACAAGAGACAAAGCAATATCTATGAGCATTTAATACGCGATACCCTAGAGGAGAAGCTATCCCCACCTTTGGCGAATGAGTTTCGATTCTATTTCTGTTTGTTAAATTCAGTTTTAATCGCCATAAGCTGATGTGTCGCTGCCTATCAGAGACTATCTATTTATCGCCTTCGATTCGTTGCCATGAGGATGAGGAGGAATGAGGCGAGTAATGTCCAAGGGGGAGGGGCACAGTACGCAACAGTCAGTTAATATCGCCGGTCGGTTAATAATGGGTCGGTCGGGCGGTATCAGACCCGGGTTCTATATCGTAATAGGCAATTTCGGAGTCGCATTCGCCGTCGCCTTCGCTCCTTTATGGCTAAGTAAATCCGTGCACTTGAGGCAGTGCCTCCTCCCTCCTCCTCTGTCTGTGATTTTTATGACAGCCGCTTACTGGTTGGGTGAGTGACTGGGTGGTGGGTCTTAGTGCAGCTACTGTTGACAGTTGCTCATGTACAGCCCTCGTTCCATGCTCCAAGGTTCCATCGACTAATCCCCTGCATTTCGCTTTGGTTTTTCCCTTTTTTTTCGTTATCGATGACAGGTAACCCTCTCGCAGATCTGCCGCAGCTCGCACCAGAACACGTACGCCATGCCTGGCGGGGAGATGTCCGAGGATCTGCGCCGCAAGTTCGACCAGTGGTGGTCCAACCAGCTCTCGCCACAGGCGGCCATGGCGCCCAAGATGCTGCCCTTCATGACGGCTCCGTCGGCGGTACCCGTGCCCGTGCCCGGGGATATGGACTTCCCCGTTGGCTCGGCCATGGCTGCAGCGGCGGCGGCAGCAGCTGCCCATGCGGCTGTCGCTGGGGGGGCAGCTGTGAACAATCCTCTAGGATCGATGGGCAGTCGGGAGAGTCTGCTACTGGCAAACGAAGCCGCTGTTCACCATGCCACCGGAGGTCAGGCTGCGGCCGCGGGTCACCATAGTAGCATGCTGGTGCATCCTATGCATGCCGCGTCTATGCATCATCACCACCACCACGGAGCCACCCACGGTCACGGCCCACAGTATCCTAACCAGAAGACACGCATGCGCACCAGCTTCGACCCGGAGATGGAGCTGCCCAAACTGCAGAAGTGGTTCCAGGAGAATCCCCATCCCTCGCGCCAGCAGATCCAGACCTATGTGGTGCAGCTGAATACCTTGGAGTCGCGCCGCGGTCGCAAGCCGCTCGACGTCAACAACGTTGTGTACTGGTTCAAGAACGCACGGGCTGCCCAGAAGCGGGCTGAGATGCGGGGCGGGAGTCTGGGCAGTGCCATGAGCGCTCTGGGTCACGCCGCCATGAACGGCTACCTCAGCCAGCACGCCCCTCTTGGCCAGAATTCAAGCAGCAGTGCCGGCAGCCAGCCGATGAGCATGGGGAATCTTTCCATGACGCACGATTATCTAAAGAGCCCCATGAGCCTGAAATCGGAGGACATCGACACCATGTCGCAGCACTCCGACGAGATGGAGGAGGAGCCAAGTCGCCCCAACACGCCCCAGTTGCCGCTCTCACTCACCACCCACGAGCGCAACCGCAGCTCGCCCCTGATGGACCAGGACGAGGAGGAGGAGGAGGATCAGGGGGATCAGCAGCAGCAGCAGCCACAGCGTGTAAAGAGCGCCGGCAGCGATGTGATTAACGGCAATCTGAGAGAGACCGAGGAGGAGCGCCAGGAGAAGGCCAGTGACGTCCAAGACAACGAGAAGGAAAGCGCACACCACGTGGAGGAGGTGCCCCATTCAGAGGCCGAACCTCCGGTGGATGCCGCCTCCAGCCTAAACAACAACAACAACAGCAGCAGCCACTCGCACATCGAGCACGAGCACGAGGTCGTGAGCTCCACGCCGAAGCGCACCATTCCTAAGGAGGAGGAGGACGACCTGGACATGGACGATGACGAGGAGGACAACGAGAATGACGTGAGTCACCTGGATGAGTTCCGCTCGCCCTCGCCAGACCTCTCTGGTGCCGTGGCGCCGCACAAGGACCAGCTGCCCTTTCCCATGGTTCCCAATTCGATGTTCTCGCAATCCTTCATGTACATGAGCCACTACATCCCGGCCTTTGGACAGGCGGCCGCGGCCCATCCGCACCATCATGCCGCTGCTGCGGCCGCTGCCGCCGGGATCCAGCCGAACGCCCTGATGGGGGGCGCCGGCGGACTCAACCTGTCGAGCATCTCGAACGAGGAGCGCCGGAAGCGGAATCGCACCTTCATCGACCCGGTCACGGAAGTGCCCAAGCTGGAGCAATGGTTCGCCATGAACACGCATCCCTCGCACAATCTGATCCTCAAGTATACGGAGGACCTGAACACCATGCCCTATAGGTGAGCTCCCCCATCCAAAGTAATCCTGTAATCCCTGTCAGTATATTCGGCTAACTCCTCTGTTTCTCTGGTTTGATCTGCTCCTTTCAGGCAAAAGTTCCCGCGTCTGGAGAGCAAAAATGTGCAGTTCTGGTTCAAGAACCGTCGGGCCAAGTGCAAGCGCCTCAAGATGTCCCTGTACGACAACAACCAGTGCGGACAGCTGGGAGGCCTGAGCTCCTTTGTGCCCAAGTACGAGGAGCGGGATTGAGTCAAATAAATCCAAATTAGCCGAAGCATTTCTTCCTTGTAAATACTTGAGCGAGACACACACCACACACATACTACGCAGGCGCAGGAGTTATGGAAAAAACACTATACCATATATACTACATAAACTAATAAATAATCCCTAGTTTAGTCCACTCTAAGTATTATTAGACGGAAGGAACTAACCCAGTTACAAGTTACCAGTATGCGAAACAGATAGCGAAAATTAGAGCAAATAGATCATGTATAACTAATTTATAACCAGATAGACTTGAGCCCTATCAAATATATATAGCACTCTCCTCCACTTCTACTTCTACTTCTATCTATGTATCTATTTAGTTCATAGAAATTCGATAGAGAGGGGCAGACAGAGCGGCAGCCCATTAAGAGTAAGCAAACCAAAGAAAGAAAACTTTTTCGAGAGTCGTTGTCGTAGTCTACGATCTGCGATCTGTATATAATGTATGTTATTCTAGGTACGTATTCTTTGAGCATTGTGAATTTTGTTTTGGCCTAGTTGCATTTGTGCGAGTATCTGTATCTGCAGTTTAAGTTTTAGCCTAAGTTTAGTTGTCCTCCGCCCTGCCTTATTTGAGAAGCCATCGCCCCTGTCCATACCTAGCACATATCCCCTTTTGGCATCCGCATATAGCATGTATAACATATGATCCGTTTCTTTCAATAACTTGGTATCTAATACCTAAGCCCTTCCACAATCCCCCTTTTAATTAACTAAAACTACACTCTGAAAAATAATAGTGTTTGATGAATTGTTCCATTAGTTACCTAAGTCTTTAGATCAGTATACAACTATTATAGTAATATTGTAATTTATTGCAAGCATCCACATACCTGCACACACACAGACACACAATCTTACCAATAAATACACACACACAAACACTCATAAACACAGACATCTTATATATATAGTAATATATAGAACTATATTCCCCAGCAATTATTAAATGATTAAATAAATAAAATTTGTCAAATTTATATGAAAACTGGTTTTTTAATGGGGAATCGAGAATGGAGAACGGGAAAATGGATGGAATCGGATATGTTCTCTTCATGAGAACGGATCAATTTTGAGTAACGTCTAAAAAATCTCTTGGCGTTCTTGGTGGATGGCTTGGATTCGACTGCCAGACTCCCTGCAACTTCCGATGTAATCGTCAAGCGGATGACAACATTGACGTGATAACACCCCAGCATAGGCATGAAAGCATAGTTCAAAGACTGTAACAATCTAAAGTGGGTATTCGAATAAATGCATAATGGTCCTACATCCCATTATTTGAATTGGCTGAAATATGGACCAGGTTTGGACCACTCATTTCTAAAAGATATTTGAGAGGATTCCCTGCTTCGACGCTACAGTTGTTATTTAGTGTCTTCTTTGTTGCATTTATCATTTATATATTGTCACTTGTATATCTACTATGTGCTTTATATACAGACGTTAAATAAAAGACAGCGAGCTCCATGAAAGACTTCATAAATTGTGCCGGGATGCACTTCCTTTGAGGTGAGTTTGGTGGATGGAATACCCCTACCATTACCCGCCATGGCCAGCCGCCAGTCGTAATGTGTTTGGCCATTTCTCATATGTGCTTTATTTCGCTCTCTTGCTCTGTGTTTTGGTCTTGTTTGAAATTTTTGGTAAGTAACTGATAAGCAAAGGGGAAATAAATATGCATACGTACAGCAGAAGCAGAAAAAAATGGCAAAACTCGTTTGAAGAGGAGCGGAGCACATTTAGCTTCGTTTCAGTGTGACTTGTGGCACGCGGCGTATGAGTTATCTGCTCGCCTGCCTCCCTCTCTCTCTCTCTCTCTCTCTCTCTCTCTCTCTCTCTCTGCGTCTTCCAACACTTTCCATCTCTTTCCTGCCCTCTTACATCTTCGCCGCAGATATGAAACAATTTATTAGCGCCAAAGTTTACTTATTTTCATTTCTTTATTTCGTTCGTTCGCCTTTGTTACATCCCGCAGACATTCGTAGATAGCAGGGTGTGGGTGGTCGCGGCGGTTCCTTGGGCTTGGGCAGGGTGGCAGGACAGTAGAGGGCATGGGGCGGGGCTCCGTGTGGTTACTAAATCAGGCACATTATTTCTGATTTTAAGTACATGTGTGCCACGGAGTGTGGGTATTTATGTGTGGTGTGGATGGAGAAGGGGATAGAAGGGGATGGGCATCATTTGTTATCGCAAACTTTTAAATTAAAATTGTAAGAAGGAGCGAACCAGATAGGTAATGGCGATGGGCGGCTGAGTCCCAAGAAGGCTCTTGCTTATAAATTTATAGAGCATCTTTAGCTCCTCCATATTGGGTGTTCTTTTGATTTATGAATTTTGCAATAAGTCGAGAAACTGTTGCTTCAATAACGTTAACAAATGGTAGCGGAAACCCTAAGGCATCGTCCTATTGGAATGGATATCGTTATGGGCAGAATACCCGCACTGCAAATATGATCTGAATTATTTCAATTCCTGAATTATCGAGCATAAGTATCGAATATTAAGAACCTGCATATAGAACTTCTTTTTCTCCATTTCTATTTCATGATCAAACCTTTGAGAGGAGAACTGTACTTGATTTTTCTGCCGAAGCTTTGCTTTTCACGGACTAGCAACTTTTCGAGTACCTGCTAGAAAATTCAGCTATTAAAGATATTGCAACATTTTGGTTCTTCAAAACCTCAGATAGGAGTCCTTTCTTTACTGCAATTATTTCCTATTACATATAGTTCATTCCAGCAAATTCCCAACCCCTTTCGATCATAAATATTTACAGAAAATGTTTAATTCCATTCTAGACCACACTGGCGTTTTGCATGGAAGACGATGGAGGCGCGTGGAGGATGGGTATGTATGGAAATTTCGCATAACTTTATCCATTAATTAAAATTTCTAGCACCGCTCTGCAGCAACCGACCTGTGGTTGGCTCACGAATGAAATTACAGCCACGCCCACTCTAGCAGGTCCAAGTGGAAGGCGGTAGGCGCTCGGTTTTCGAGGGGTTTTAAATGGGAATACACGAAAACAGGTAAACAGGCGAAAAAGAAAACATTTACATAGCTAACTACGAGTACACCGCGTACTTGCGGCAGGCTGCCACAACTTTTCCCTTGGTCCAAAAGTTGATAGACCGAAGAGAGGAGAGTCGGCCGCAGGACCTGGAGTGGCAGCATAAATCTTGCTTTCGAAAAGTTTTTCATATCGCCATAATGATGCCAAATGGGGAATAAATCTGAATAATGCAATAATAATTAAGAGATGCTCAGCAACACTCTCGGCCGGAAAATGATCAGAACTAGGGAAAAATTCAATCGAATTCGGCAAAGAATCGCCGAAGGGTGGGGGAGTAGACCGCTCCATTAGCAGATTCCATTGGTCCTTTTGCCACAACAGAACAAATTCCAATCAAAGAAAAATTTCTTAGCAGCAATTAGAGCGCACAAAACAAGAGCTACCATAAAGGAGACTCGCCTGGCTTCACCAGAAAGGACGGACAGCCAGACCCAGGCAGCCAGGACACTACAGGGGACAGAGGACATAAATAGTTTTGCGGCTTTGACTGATATGCGGGGCAATAAAACTAATGAGCGCGCGAGCCAAAATAGTAGTTGACAGTGGTTTGGTGGTGGCTCCATTTTGGAGGGTTTCTTGGTTGCTGTTTCCCTGCACCATGCGACCGGGGTGCGGGTGCGGGTGCGGGTCCGGGTCCGGGTCCCGGTCCTTGGTTCCTGGGTACTGGGTGGTTGGTGGCGATTCATTTGCCAAATTGAGTGCGCAAACAAACCATAGCGAAAGTCAAATGAATATAGCGCAAGTCCAATTAAATGGTCATAAGTAATAATAATTCCGCTTTGATTTGTGACATTCACTTTGCAAGCAGGACCGCAGCGGTTCCAAACATGGTGGGAGGGAGGGGTCAAGGGAGAGGCATCTTCCTTTGCAGGCAGACATCTTCAGTTTGCACCCGGCAAAATTAGTCCATGAGAAGGTTGCCGAAATAGAAGAAAAATACACTCTTCTGGGTAAGAGAGGTAATAAATTGAAGCTGGCTCATTATGTGGTTTACTCAAACTCAGTGTTTTTCGAAAAAATCACAGCTGAGATTAAAGGAGAATCGTGTTCGATCTTTCCTTGTTCCTTCTGAGCTTTCTGTATCGCATCCCACACTCTTCGGAATGCTCATTTTGGCTTAGTTATCCCTAGTTAGGATGGCCAATTAAAAGGCAATTCGTTAGTGAAACTTATCTCTTCTCGGACATACACAGATAGTTTCGGTGTCCCAAACTCCCCCTGAACCCTGACCCATGACCATCACCGCCACCCTGTTGAGCTCATTAAACCTTTTTGGGAAAGTCCGGAGACCGAGAGCCATCAAATGATAATAATTCTTGCTGGCCAAAGCCGGAGTGTGCCTCTGCATCTCTCAGACTATCGGACTGGGGTATGGGCATAGCTTACGTAAATAAAGGCGACCGACCCATCACCCATCCGGGCCGGTCTCTGCCATGTTCCATGTTAAGATATTGTATAAGAATATGACAAGGAGGGCTTAACTGGAGAGAGCCAGCTGACACGCACGCGTCCAGACGGGGCGAGAGGACTAGTGGAGGCCAGGACATGGCAATGGCATGCATACCCTCACATCCTTGCGAGGCTGCCTTGCCTGCATTGGGCGATTATTATTTATTTTCCTTAATTACGTCTTAGCATCCTCCTCGCTCTAAGGCGGGACAAGCACCTGCCTAGGAGGGAGGACGGGATGTTCGTACAACAGCCCCCCTGCCTATTCCGTGGCTCATGTGCTGTCTTCGTCCTGGCTGGAAAAGTATTTGCGTGGAAAATTGTGCGTCTTCCGAAAAAAGCTGAATCTGTGTGTGTGTGTGCGTTTGTGAGAGTCTCGCACATGCTACCGCTCTAAGCCTTCCCTTGTCTTGTCTTTTGGGCACCTTATCCTGCATGCTGCATGCCTCCATTGCCCGTTGCCGCCCTCATCCTGCCACTCACACCCCGCTGTCAACTGTCGTTTGTCTTGGGCGCGTAATAAAAAGACTTAACAACGCGAGTTGTTTAATTATTATTTATGACACTCCTCTGGCTGGCCAGATTATTGCCCCAAAAAATGGGTGTTGCTCCTGGAGATGGCATCGTGTAGAGATTCGGAGAGAAGCTAGCTTTTTGGCTGCCTTGATTTAGTGTCCCGACTGTGGTATAACGCGGCTACGACTATTTAAATCAATTGCAGATTCCATTCCAAGACCAGGTCCAATCTCAATTCATTTTCATAAAATCCAAAAAGTTTTGCCTTTGCTTTGCCTTTGCCTCTTTGCATCCGTAATTTACGATGATAATTATGGCAACTGCGAATGACCCCCCAGGGAGGCTAAGCCAAGGCCGACTCTGGCGTCCGCCCACTGGGCCCTGGGCACTGCGCGGATGGAAAAATGTAAAAATGATAATCCCATTGTCAGGCGATAATTCAAAGCAAGTCGGTCGCCTTCAGTGTCCATTCCGTGCCATGGCACTCGGCGCAGTCGTCGTCCAGGAATCAACAACCAAAAAGGTAAGAAATATTCTAATAAATATTCCTTTAGATTTATGTAAACTTTTTCTTCTTATTGAAGTAGCAACCTGTACGAGAATGTATCTGTGTAAGCTGAATCAATATGTGTGGATGTGCCTATGCACTATGGGAAAACAGAAAACTTTTTGTGGCAATAATAAAAACCAGAAAAAAGGTATTTTGACAAAAATGGGCGCGGGAAAAGCCTTATTTCTAATGGGAACACACAGAATTGTATTATGTTTTCACAGAATATTCCTTGAAAAAGTCCTGGGAAAGTGTTTAGCAATGTCCATTTGTGTGCTTCGCACAGCG